TTCATCATCTCAGTGCTATATAAACAAGGCTTTGAAGATTGAAATGGCTAATGCTCTCCAAATCTCTACACGCACAAAAGCTAATTATAATCTTCTTTCTCTCAGTTTTGCTAAACCACACACTCTGATATTCTATCATTGTTTAGCAATCTAGTTTCTAAGCTTCAATTTGTGTATACATCACAGTTGTGATAAAGTTTTGTAGAAAACATTCACACACTTAGTTTTATCTCTTTGTAAGAAAGTGTTACCTTGACAAACCGGGTTGTGGTTTGGATCAAGAAGGCTTTAGCAGTTGTTAAAGCAGTCTGTAATATTCAGTTGAATATAGTGGATTAAGACCTCGTTGGAGAGAGGCGAAATCACTTTGACGGGTGAACTGGAGTAGTTTGAGATCAAACGAACTAGGATAAAAATATCTTGTTCATTGCATTAGATTTCAGTTTTACAATTCAACCCCCCCCCCCCCTTCTTGTGTTTTTCACCACTTCAGTCAGTTTGCATAGCAGGATGAAGCTCATTAACACTGGCCACAATTTGGTCAGTGGTCTTACTACATGCAAAAGTGGTCTTCTAAGCCTAGGACCTCTAAGAAGGTACTAGAAGATATATTTAGTAGGTCTTTGGATGCAAGTTTGTTTGAATTGTTAAAGGGTGGTTTAGAGATTTATGCTACTAAATGAATTATAAAAAATATAGCTTGAGAGGATTGCAAACAATTGTTTCTCTCTCCTCCACCTAGTGGTGCATAATGTGGTTATGTTTGGATAAGGGAATATCCCCGTAGTCAAGCTTGAGAAGAAAATACGAAGAATAAGAAAGTGTCTCTTTCCTGTGGTGAGTGATGCATTGATAGTCAAGGATAAAATCTCTTCCTTCAAAAACGTTCTCATTGACTAGCTTTCGTTACAAACAAGGTAACTCTTCTATTTAAAGAATCTGTCGTTTCAAGCAAGGTAGTCTTTGTTACTGCACCTCCCTCCTCTCAAGTTGCATTTCAACAAGATAAATTCGTCCAAAAAGGCTGATGCTAAGAGGGTTCAATCTCTGGAAGTCAAAAAGGAAGTGCGTTATGATCCAAAGTAGGTTGGGTCATACATAGTGACATATGTTGGAACATCTTCTGGAACATCTAGGACAGGAAAGAAGTCTTTCACAAAGATGAAGTCCTTCATGAAGAGTCATGGTTAGTTACATGATTAAGACTTAGATGCTAATAAAGATTGGGTCAATTTCATTGACCCAGAAGGAAGGATTGGTTAGGTTCTCTTATTGTTCTTTCTAATAAAAAAACAAAAAAAAAGTGTGTTTCTATTTGTTCTTTTTATTGATGAGTCTGATGTGTTGTGTCTCTAGTTTCTTTATGAGTTTTGTTAGTCTCCTTTGCTAGTGTGTGTTTCTACTATGTGTCTATCTTTTGTTCTTTCTATTTTTGTTCCCTTAATTTTTTCCAAGTTTGAGTGAGTTGTCAGTTTCTGTTTCTGTTTCTTTTACTCTATTTTTGTCAATTTTTTGCTATAAAAAGGGAGTAAAGTTTAGTATGGGTGTCTGTGTGTCCTGTTGGTTTATCATGTGTATTGATATGTTGAGTCAACATGGTGTTGTATAATGTTGTTTCTTTATGTATGCAACATTTTAGGGGGATCATGATTGTCTGTCATGCTTGGTTGTGTTGGTTGGTGTTTCTTCTGTTGCTACTGTTGTTGTTGCTGCTGGTTGTCTGTGTGCATGATATCTTACCAGATGTTCTAACATCTTACCTGTTGTGTCTTTTGGATGGGTTTATGGTAGTCTAAGGCTCTAGTGTTCTAAGTTATTTGTATTCCTTCTACTGCATGATCTTCTAATGTGTTAGACTTGAATAGTTCAAGAGTGAGTTCAGGCTGGTTTCTTGTGCTTCGGGGAAAGTTTCTTCTTCCTCTTGAGGGGGAGAATTGGTTCCTTGTGACAAGAATTGGTTCTGTGTGGCAGGGGAAGTAATCTTGGATAGATCTGAAATAGCATATTGTCCCTGATACTAAGTGTTTTACAGTTTGTACAAATTTTACATGTTTTAGCATGTAGCTTGTGTTTTGGTTTTTGTGGTTTTATTCCTCTCTCCTGTTTAATTATGCTTTGGTTGTTTTAGCCAAAATTTGTCAAAAGGCGAGATTGTTAGATCCATGGTTTTATGATTGGATAAATTTTGCTAAAATATGGTTCTTAACTAATGTTGGGCAAGATGTCATAACATCTTGATCAAATTGATACATCAGAGTGTAAAGGTTGCATTGAAGACAAATATTTTGACATGCTGAACCAGAACATTAGTACAAGATGTTTTTAAATCTTGACTGATTTGATTTGATTTTGTGATATTTCTTTTTGGATATGTTACAGATATTTATGCAAGTCGGGAAGATTTAATCTAGAACAAGTGAACTATTCTTCAACTGTACATAAGTTTCTAAAATTGAATGTTGAGACAATTTAGGAAACTTGATATTTTGTTCCAAGATTTATGGAGATTTTTCTACATAATTGGTGCATCGCTCAGCTTGTGGATCAAAAAATATCTGGGTGAAGATTTCGAAGCCCATGGACTAATGAGGAGTATTCAAAGAGAAACCTAGACCTAATGTAATTCAACTTTCACAATTGTAAAATTAGGAGAAGTCTAAAATCTTAGATTTTGAGAGTCTCTTGTGTTCTTGTATGTCATCAACTTATCTTTTGATACAATGTGGTAGACTGATTATTACTTGATTGTTTATCAAGTTATTATTCTTACTCATGAGCTTTTAAACAAAGAGTTGAGTATTGTTCTTGGTTGAAGCTTTTAAGCAAAACTAAGTACTTTTGTATTGGAAGTGTAATCTTCTATTTGATTTTCATTCTAATCACAAGGTTTGTGACTGTAGGCATCACTGCGATGATTGGAAGTGAGAGGTGAATCTCATATCTAGATGGTGATTTCTAGTTAGAAGTTTCACAAGGCAGTGATTATGCGAGAAGTTGTAAACTGGGACTGTTTAGGCTTTGAACTAATACTTCATAGTGAATTATTCTTCCTGACTTGGTAGCCCCCAGAGTAAGTGACGTTGCACCAAACATGGTTAATAATTTGTTGTGTTATTTATCATATTGCAGTTTATCCTTCTGAATATTTTACAGTTTGATGTTATTATTCTGTACCAGGAACAAATGTCGTAACATTTGTCTTGACATTGTGTTCTGGTTTTGACTTATCAGTATTAACATGTATTACAAGTGCCAGAGTTTCAGACACATATCCCACTGCATGGTTTGCAACCTTCTAACTTGCTTTCACGCGTCTTCTATGAATGGATAAGATCAAAAAACAGTTATTTAAGGTAACCTCTTTGTTTTGTTCCAAGTATTGTTGTGGACCATCCATCTTGTCGAACTCCCGAGAATAATATTTTCACAATCTGAAAAATATGCAAAGTCCTAAGATTTTTAGGGTTAATATGGAAAAATTCGACAACAATGGTTGAAAATCATTTTTATCGAACACATCAACAAACAATATCATTTTTTACTAAGTATCATCTCATCACTTTTTCCTGTGTCGAGTTCATTATGTCAAAAATCCCATGCTAACACAAGGGCAGAGAGACTCAGAGGACCTAGTAGGTATATTACACATTTGAGGGTGGGAGATAGATCACGACGTCGAGTAATCTAGTACGATGGTTTATGAAGCTGTTTAAGAGACCAACTCATGTGAGCTGAAAGACCTTACTGATGGCTGATACTGCTAGGTCGTAGGCAGGTGGTTGGAGTTAAGTTGTTAGGGTTACTTAGAGCGGAGTGCTCTCTGAGTGGTGTTTGAATGTGTGTATGTATGTGTTACTTAAGAGAGTCCTCTATTCCCTTGAGGGATAGTGTATATCACGTTGAACAGATTGCATGAACAACTACGTTGAATTCCGTCTTGACTGACCATTTACTTAGGTGATAGACACCCTAATCTAAAATTTTATCAAATAGAACACTACAAAAATGAGAAATAGAATCCCATGCAGTCATTGATTTAACGAATTCACACATTCAGGTCATTAAAAACCGTTTGATTGCAATCTAATGGTCTAGTAAAATAAAGATTTAACATTAATTTTATACTCTAAAATATTAAACATAAATCTTAACCGTTAAATCTTAATCGAACGATCATTTTTACTTCAAATGCGTGAATGTGTGCCTTAGTTACGGCACGAAAACCCAATCCCAAAAATGAATACCGAAGAGAACTTAATTAAAACCATAAAATAAATGGCATGAATAAGATTTTCTCTCACACTCACTCCCTTTTTATGTTAGATGAAAATTTTATAAACTCGAAAGTGGTATATCTCTCGTCCACTCCTAATAACTTGGACTTTAGGTATTCCATCGGAATATACCCTTTCGTCTCCTTGGACTTCATTTAATCCTCGGTCCGAACGCATAACGAAATTATTATTTTGAACTTAAACCATTCCCTCAATTAGTACCAGTATATTATTCTAATCTAAAATTTTCAATGCCCTCTCTTTCAATTAATAAAAATATTTAATTAAAGTGTAGTACAATTTTAACATTTTTCGACCATTCACAATTTAATTAATTTACCATTTTTTGTCCATTCACAATGACCTAAATATACTATACATATTTTTGACAATGATAAAAGGTCATTGACGAAAATATTTATTATTTTTTAGAGATTGTACTACCTGAGATTCAATTTGTCATTAGTATAACTTAATTTATTTTTACACAATGTAAACTAATCAAATTTAATCCATGATACAAAAATTAATAAAATTAATCAAATTATTTAATTATTTTCCTTTGCCCTTTCCAAACATCCAAATAATATATTTTCATTTTAGTCTAATGCACAATTTATTATAAACAGATCAATCACACAATCATGATTTATTCCTAAGAATTGAACTTCTATTCATTTGTTCAAACTTTATCTTAATTTCTTGGCTCTTCTTGTTGTTACCAATATGGCTGTTAGTACAATATGTGATTCTGAATCACTCAACCATGCAGCCACAAAAGAAATAGATGAAAAGAAAATCCAAGTGACTGAAAATAATAACCAGAACACTGATATTAACTATTGGCAAAGGGCTCAATGGCTTCGCGCCGCGGTATTGGGAGCTAACGACGGATTAGTTTCCGTTGCATCACTAATGATGGGCGTAGGGGCCGTTAAAAAAGACATCAGAGCAATGTTGGTGGCCGGCTTCGCGGGGTTGGTCGCCGGAGCATGTGGTATGGGAATAGGAGAATTTGTTTCTGTTTACACTCAATATGAAGTTGAAGTAGGTCAAATGATGAGAGAGATAGGCACAAGTGATAGGGCGGAGAAAAAGTTGGAGAATGAATTGGAGAAGAGAAAATCATTGCCTAATCCAATGCAAGCTGCTTCAGCTTCTGCGTTTTCGTTTTCGGTTGGTGGTTTGGTTCCTTTACTTTGTGGTTCTTTTATAAGTGATTATAAGATTAGGGTTATTGTGATGGTTGCAATATCTAGTTTTGCTTTGGTTGTTTTTGGAAGAGTTGGTGCTGTGCTTGGTAAGACACCAAAGATGAAAGCTTCTATTAGGTTTCTTCTTGGTGGATGGATGGCTATGGCTATCACTTTTGGGTTAACTAAATTACTTGCACATTGTAGTGGTTTGGATTTGGATATCTAAATCATGTTTCTCATTTTTTATTTTTAATTTATTGTTTTGCAAGTAAAAATTTAAACGAGTCTAAAATTCAAGTTGGAGCTGATGCTCGGTAAGTTGGTCTGAATACAAAGACTTGTTTAATATTTTGGAATTCAAAAGTATTAATTTGATTGTCTAAAATATCAAATGTAGGTCAAATTAGTGTTTGATTGAGATTAAAATGTTGTTTAACATTATCTTAATGATGACTAATTTGACTATTATTTGAGATTTATGACTATGAAGTTAGTAATCTTTCATTCTAAGATATAAAATAGGTTTCTTGTTTTTTTATCAAAGAATAATTTGGATATTTACTCTTGTCTTATCATTTGAGCCTACTCATTTATGTTCATTGTGGGTTTTGGCGGGAAAAAGGCTAGTGAGTATTAACTAGTTTGTCATATACTTCATGTTGAACCAATAAAAATAAATGTCATTTGCAAGTTATTCTTAATCTTTTTATATTTTTCAAGGAATTCTTGTTTGATTGTGTATATAGAATAAATGAAACATTGTTATTTGTTTTTATTTATATTCAAGTTTTCCATTATATTTTATACTAATATTTTCATGTCCCAAAATGTTTTAAATTCATTTTGAAAATGTTTTAAATTCATTTTGAAATTGCAATTGCAGTCATAATATTATTTATGCGTTAATCTTCACAACCTCATTGGAGTGTAATTGGGTGTGAATTAATTACACGTGTTTGGTGTAATCACATTAAGAATCAGTTGACAATTTAAACCATGTTTTTTTAGCTGTTTTCATAAAAAATATATATTTCAAAATCCCAAAATTCACTTTTTTTATCTGATGTAATGAAAAATTTTAACTTTAATTTATTGAGTAACTTATATTTTAATTTACTTATAAATTGAGGAATTTAAAAGAGAATTGAGAGTAATTGAGAAAGATAGGTATTTTTAGAATGAAATTTGTTTTTAAATACAAAGAAATCAAAAGCTACTTATATGATTAAGAATAACTAATCAACTAACTAACAAATAATAGAAAACTGTGACATTATGTTTCTGTTGCAAGTTAGACTTGCAACATTTTCTAACCATCACTAACACCTATATACAAAAAGTGAATTATTCCTAATAGCTTTTCGGATTTATATCTTTTAAAATCTCCATTCCTTTTAACTTTTTAAGGCCTTCAAATTGTGTATATTTTAAATGTTTTGTCAAGATGTCTGTAAATTTCAACTCAGTTTTCCAATGTTCAATGTTCAACCTTTTTTTACCAACCCGATCCTTGAGGAAATGGTATCTCACTTCTATGTGCTTATTCCTATTGTAACACCCTACTTTTACCAAACGAATTATATAAAATCAGAGTTATAAAATTTCCAACAAATAAATGGAATGTTACACTTTCAACTTGGAAACAACAATATTCAATCACATATACTTCAGATAAATAACGCATAAAATTCGGATGAACCGATAACAACATGTTTACTCTTTAAAAATAAAACAATTTTCGTTGCTACGCAGCGGATTCACAATTTCAATTGAAAACACCATAACATCTTGTCCAACTCAAAACGGCTTTAAGACAACAAGTCTTTACTGAAAACAACTTAAAAATTCAACAACATAATGAAAACCAACAATAAAGAAAACATGCGTTCATCCCCCCGAGTGCTACGTATCAGAGCGACAACACTGACTCAAACTAACGAAGTAACATCTATCCTTCTTGATTATCTGCATGTTACCAACAGAGGGAATCATTCAAACAGAAGAGGTGAAATATCGAACCATATAATTGA